CCCAGGGGGGATGGTCACGCCGCAATCCCTTCTCTTCCATTCTCCTCCCGGGATCTTGGGCATGCACGCACATGTGCCCGGCATGAGTTTTAAGCCACCGGGTCTGGGACGTGAACCGCGGTTGACTACGTGGGAGTCCAGTGACATAGCCATTACGCTAACTGCTGGTTCCCAACCACGCCACTGTTTTTTAAAAAAAATTAAAATGAATGAATAAATACATATTTAAAAAATTTATTAAAGATTTTTGCCTGGGACCAGCAGTTAGTGTAATGGCTATGTTGCTGAATTCCCATATAGTAGACCACGGTTCGTGTCCCGGACCTGGTGGCTTAAAACTCACGCCGGATGCGTGTGCGTGTGTGCCCAAGTTCCCGAGAGGAGAATAGAGGAGAAGGGATTGCGGCATGGCCATCCCCCCTGGGGGGGTGATTTCTTGCTTTTTATCTCTGTGTCTTTCTGGTGAGTGCATACGCCCTATAGCAAAAACCTCTAAAAAAACAAACAAACAAACAAACAAACAAAAAAACAAAGCATAGAAAAAAATCAACAATGTTTTAGTCAAAAGACAAAAAATTCTATTTCACCAGTTCAGTCTCATGTACTTCATCTTTTGTTGTGATTCAATTTTCCCAATTAAATTCTGGGATATAATATTCAACTCCAGACTTGTCCACATGACTAACTTGGCCATTTTCTTACTTTTTGAAGGCTTATTTCTGTTTGGCTGTATTTAATTTTCCTGATATAGCACTCCCTACAGAATTTCTTGGATATCTGGTCTGGTGTTGGTAAATTCTTTCAGATTTTATCTGAGAATGTTCTTGACTTTCCTTCCCATATAAAGGATAATCTTGCTGGGCATAGTGTCTGTGGTTGCAATTGCTTTTCCCTTAACACTTTGAATATATTTTCCCATTCTTCCCTCACTTGCATGGTTTCTGATGAGAGATCTGCTGTTAGCCTGATGGGATATCCTTTGTAGGTAACTTGCTGTTTCTCTCTTGCAAATCTTAGTATTTGTCTTTGTCTGTGGTTTTGCTCAATCCAGCTATAATGTGTCTTGGACAAGATCTTCTTGGGTTGATTCTATTTGGGGTCCTTTTTATTTCTTGGGACTGGATCTTTGAATGCTTCTCTAGGTTTGGAAAGTTTTCTTAAGGTTTAGTGGAATAGATTGTCAATGCCCTTCTGGGTCTCTTCCCCTTCTGGGATACCAATTATCCGGACGTTTGGACATTTGATGTTATCTAGTATTTCTCATTTAGTATTCTCATGTTTTTGAACAATTTTCTCAGTCTTCGTGGTAGATTTTACTAGGCCAGTAATTTTATCTTCTACAACTGAGATTTGATTTTCAGTGTGACCTAGTCTGCTTTGAATACTTTCAAGGGAGGTTTTGACTTCCTATATTATAGTCTTCATCTCTAACAGGTCCATTTGATTCTTTTTTAAATTGTGGAATTCCTATTTTAGATCTTGCAAAAATGTCCTAACCTCCTGAAGCTCGTCAACTTCTTTTCCCTGCCTCTTCAGCAGTTCATTGTCTCTCTTCTCTTCGATTTCTGTGAGCTTCATCACCCTGACGAGCTTCATCACCATGAAAATTCTAAATTCTTTATTTATCAGACATTTCCATGAATTTCATCATACTGTGTGAGGATGAAGAGGACTTTTTTTTTTTTGGAGAGGTATTTTCTTTGTTTTCCATATTTCTTCTGACCTGCGGAGATTTCTAATCAACAAATTGATGGTGCACTTCTTCTAATTCTTGAAGTTGAGTCTGAGTGTTCAGTGGTGTGCAGGAGGAGGTGATCTGCAATCTCTTTTCTGATCAGTTCTCATTCTTTTTGCATCAGAATTAGTGGTAATAGAGGAATATTCTGACCCTAACTATATTCAGATGTATAGATTCTGTTCACTTGGACCTACCTAGACACTTAGTGAGCAGAGGCTGAGAAGAAAATGAGTAAAGATTAAAAAAAAAAAAAAGAGGAATTAAATGAGTAAAGATTAAAAAAAAAAAAAGAGGAATTAAAGAAAAGAAAACAAAATAATAAGAAAAAAGGGATACTAAAAAATAGATTTTAATATTAAAATGCAAAAATACAAAACCGTGTGGCATACAAGCACCATGAGAAAGCACTAGTTCACAGCTGAAGTTCAGGATCCATGTGGAGGTGGGCCTGGGTTTGTGCCTTTCCTATACAGACAGGGAGAGAGACACACATTAACACAATAAAGGGGCTTGAAAGCCCAGAGAATACTTTACCATAGAAAAGATAAACAATTAAAAATTAAGAGTCAGGAGACACAGAGGGACAGAGAGAACTGGAGACAAAGGGACAGGTAACAGTACCCAGTAGAAATAAGTGAGGAAGAAGTCTCAGCAGAAAATCTTCATTTTAAGTCTCTGAAAGCACTAGTTTATAGGTGAAGTTCAGGACCCATGTGGAGGTGGGCCTGGGTTGTGTCTTTCCTATACAGAAGGGGAGAGGCACCTATTAACACAATAAAGGGGTTTGAAAGCTCAGAGAATACCATACCTTATAAAAACAAAAACTAAAAATTACAAGACTCAGGGAGACACAGAGAGACAGGGAGAACTGGAGATAAATAGACAGGTAACACTACCCACAAGAAATAAGTAAGGAAGAAGTCTCTGCAGAAAATCTTCATTTTAAGTCTCTCAAAACACTAGTTCACAGATGAAGTTCAGGATGCATGTGGAGGTGGGCCTGGGTTTGTGCCTTTCCTAAACAAAGGGGGAGAGGCATCTATTAACACAATAAAGGGGCTTTAAAGCCCAGAGAACACTTTACATTAAAAACATTAAAAAATTAAAAGATTCAGTGAGACACAGAGAAACAGAGAGAACTGGAAACAAAGAGACAGGCAACATTACCCGCTAGAAATAAGTGAGGAAGAAATCTCGGCAGAAAATCTTCATTTTAAGTCTCTGAAAGCACTAGTTCACAGGTGAAGTTCAGGATCCATGTGGAGGTGGGCCTGGGTTTGTGCCTTTCTAGAAGAGAAAAAAAAAACTTTAGAAAGGACAGAGAACAAAAGGGAGAGGGACACTTGCCTACCTGAGTAGTACTCGAGTTGGAAGGGTGTGCTCTGGTTGGGTGGGGGGTCACTCCCATGATGATATACCCTGAGGCCCAACGCAGTCAGAGGTGGAGGTGCCTGGAACTCTCTGTCCTGACTAGTAGTGTGGTCAGAAGGGGAGACTGTGACTCGAGGGGCTTCACAGCCATGGGGTAGAACCCAGAGGGCCAATACAGTCAGAAGTGGAGGTTCCTAGATGCTTTCTGTCCTGGCTAGCACTGGGGTCCTGGAGGGAAGGCTCTGGCTGCGGAGGGGCTTTACATCCATGAAGCTGAACCCAGATGGCCAAATACAGTCAGAGATGGAGGTTCCTGGATGCTTTCTCTATAAATGTTTCTTAAACACCAACCCTGTTAAAAATACTGTGGCCAGGAACTCACAGGCTTACTGGCTAACTTATTCAAATGATCTCTCCTGGCCAGCTACCTTGGATAGCTGAGAAATTCTCTTCAAGAAATGACCTAGTTTTGTTATTTTCTGTTCCTTACAAGAAGTTTTCCTGCTGTGTCCTCCATCTTTAAATTGTTGTCATTGTTATTTGACCTTAATGACTCAAGAACTTTAGTGGTGTGAATGGATCCAGCTAAACTAATTGCTACTAAGATGAGTGAAAATGTTGTACTCAACAAGCTTCTGGGAAAGGTCTCCTTTACTTTTGGGGCCCTTGTCATAATCTTTGTACCCTGAAGAATGCTAGAGATCAGCTTTCTGAATTAATCATTAGTGGAGTGACTTTTTCTCTAAACCTCAGTTTCTCTTATGAAAAATGGAAATGATTAGTCATTGTCTATTTCCTGGATGTGAAATGAGGCTCCTAAGTGCTTAGGAAGTGGTACATCCCTCTGTGAGTTAGGGACATCCTCAGCCTGGGCTTTTCCTTTGTCTGCAGGGTTACCTGAAGCAGTGCCGAAAGAGAAGAGACATGTTCAGCGATGAGCAACTCAAGGTTATCTTTGGGAATATTGAAGACATCTACAGGTTTCAGATGGGCTTCGTAAGAGACCTGGAGAAACAGTACAACAATGATGACCCACATCTCAGCGAGATAGGACCCTGCTTCCTAGAGCACGTAAGCCTCTTACCCCTTTGGGGAGTGTTTTGAGAGATCATAGGAAGGAATGAAAGGAGCATCTGAGCTTTCTGATTCTGTTCCTCTGCTTTGCCCTGTGGTGGGGAATGGGTTTCTTTCTGGCCCTGATTTTAACCCCTAGTTTCTGGTTAGGGTACAAGGACTTAGAAGGTGGTTTGATTTTACCTAGGATCCTTTCTTTACCATTCCCGTCCTCTCTCCCTCTCTTTCCAGATCGTTACTGGAAAGATTTTTCTTCAGCTTCTCTTTTCTGTCCAGTTCAGTTTCCATGAGACTCAATGTTTTTGTTGGAGGGAGTATGGGTAGAATTTATTGTGTAGAAAATCCAGGAATATGAGAAATAAAATCAGCTCCTATAAGGCATTTAGGGGAGAGATCTGTGGTAAAAGAAGTGACAAATGTAGAAAAATGGACTATTTTCTTAGAAGAAAGAATGCTAAGAAATAAGATAGCAAGGCCTTGAGTCCTGTGTCTAGACTGTCTAGGTAATTTTGGGCAAATTTATTACCCTCTTTGACCTTTATTTTCCTCATACAGAATATGAGATGTCACTTTATGCCTCTGTTTTTGATAAATAATTTATTTTAATGAAGTAATTGCAACAATAGTATTTTTGAAAGTTTATACATGCATATGATACAAAATTCAAATGACACACAGAAGTATGCAGCTATAAGTAAGTCTCCTTGGTAATTTTCCTTCTTTGCTTATGAAAATGCACATTGGCAGTGGGGAGAGGGTTGTTAAGACCACTCTTATGTTTGGTGAGGCTATACTAGAAGACTCATAGGACTCAGAATATAGTTATATTCATGAATATGATTTATTACAGAAACATTTAAAGCAAAATTAGAAAAAGGAACAATTATATGGGATCGAGTCTGGAGGAAACCAAACATGAGCTTATAAAGACCACCCAGCGTAGTCGCGCAGGTATACTTAATTTCCTTAGGAATGAGTTATGGCAACACATGAAATGCTATCTGCCAGGGAAACTCATTAGAGGCTCAGTGCCCAGGGTATTTATGGAGCAATGGTCGTGTAG